TTGCTTGCTACCTTTGACAGTATTTTGACTTTGACACTTAACAGGGGCTAACTGGGTATGGGTACTTGAATTAACAAAAGAATTCATTTACATGACACTAGAAGGGACCATGCACGCAGCCACACATGAACAATAATAAAAACTTGAATAAAAAGCACATTCTTTAGGATAATACTTGGTATTCTCTAGCTAGAATGCTATGAGAAGCTAATGTACACTTACAGTGCCTCAGCAACCCATTTGATCTCTACCACGGAGTGACTGGGGACCTCCCCCTCATGATTAGCTAACCAATGAGAGGCAGTATCTCTGAAACAGGAAGTCTCCTTAGGAAATGCGAATCAAAGTATGGGGCATGGCTGAGACATAATGACCTTCATTCCACAAGCCTTACCAAAGCCAGTCTCTCTTCTTTATTCAGTCATACCTGTGACTTAGCATTGGAGTTCTTGCATCCAATTAAATAGAGTCGTTTCTTTTCCTTTCATGAAACTATCGAAGACTTACATAGGCCCTTTTCGGATGTTTCATCTGCGCTCACACTTTTCTTCTTCCCTTTACCTTTCCTACCTGTAAAATGAAAAACCCAGAAAGGTTCTCTGCAGCACTGTTAAGGCTGTGGCTGATACTTTCCTGACAGATTTTATTTTCAAGAAAATTACCTTTCCGTTCCTCTTCTCTAGGCCGCTTCAAACAAACCAAAATGTTCACCGGTTTAATTTTCCTTGTTTCTTCTATCTTATCCTTAAGCTTTGAAAATAAGGATAGGTGATAGATACAACCTTGGTGGTTAGGAGCAAAATTGCATAAAGTCCCATGCTCATTTTCTTTCTTTTTTCTTTCTTTCTTTTCTTTTTTTTTTTTCTTTTTTGGCCAAAGCCGTGCCATGTGTTTCCATTGGGTGAGTTGGGAGAGTAAGATACTCCAAGTTCTAAAAAAGGCTATGTTGTAAGCTTAGAAACTATCTTGCCAATTCCCATAACAACCCTTTTATAAATCATTCCCATTCTGGAAACAAAGAAACTACAGTTAAGCAAAGATGACTAAGACACACTCCCTGCCATCATGGGAACCTAACATCTTATTATGATCTATCTACAGATAGATGAAAAACAGAAGGGTACCACGGGAATGCAATAGAAAGTGCTACACACCGAGACAGCCTGGGCTGCCTCACGACTGTACCTCAAGGTTTAAGTGATATACAGCTGCTGTGGTCTGAATGACTGTGTCCCACCCTCTCCCCCCCCCCAAAAAAAAGATATTAAAACAAAACATGCATAAAAGGCTCCCTCCCAATGTGGGCTGAACAAAGGGATTCTTTCACTCGTGGTTTTAGAGTTCTTTCTTTGTAAACCAGCAGAGAAGAATTTCATGAAGATTTTACCTTTCCCTAGGTTCACACTTCAGTGATAACCTCATAAGGCTAACCAGGAAGTTTGTTATGAAGAGACTATCGGATTATGGACCCTGAATTTCTGTTCATGATTTGGGATTAAATAAAGACCCTACTGGCCCTTTTGGTTACTTGCCCTATGATAGTTCAGATTTTAGAAAAATGTGCCCACAAACTCTTAATGTTTGTCTACTGACTGTATGAGGTCAGTATTCACTTCCCATCCCCGTGAATTCAATTAAGGAACTTGAAGAAATCCTGCAAATGTGTCCTGGAAGTTTGAACTCACATTTTCCCTAGCATGAGTGTAACCCTGCTTTCAGCCTGGGTTTAATGGATATCATCTTAAGAGAAATGTAAGGGGTGGGGGGGGGTAGTTGAGGGTAAAGGGGATCAAATCTATGGTGATGGGGACTCTGGGTGGGGAGCACCAATGTGATATATAAATGCTGTATTAACAGAATTGTACACCTGAAATATATGTAACTTTGCTAATAATTGTCACCCCAATAAATTTTAATTAAAAAAAAAACCAAAAAACTAAAAGAGAAATTGTCATGTGGATTGTCCCTTAGAAGCATTAAAATAGAAAACTTGATTTTACACCCTCTTAGGAAAGGTAGGTCGGCAGTGGCTTCAGGAATCAATAAGAGCGGCCTCATTTCTTAAGGATTTGCTACATCACACGACCCCCAACATTTTAGACCGCAGCGGAAGCTGGTCCATTTCCTACCTGTTCATTACACTACCCCCACCGCCACTCTTCCTTCCTTCCATAAAAGGAACCACCTATACTCTCTTTTTTTGGTTGAAATAAAGCTATTGATAAGATTTCTGTTGTGACCCTCACATGCTAATAGCTCTTTGGTGTTGTTTTACTGTCTAAAGCCCCCTGGTGGACCATAGGCTGTACAAAAGGGTGAGTTTAGCTGCCTGCTAGCCAGTTTATCTTTATCTTCCATTTTCAATATTTTGCTTTTTGCTTGCTTGCATGGGGCTGCAGCCTAGGTATGCCAGAAGTTTCACATCCATTTTGAATGAAATACGATACAAGTCAAAACTAACCCTAACTACTAACCCTGCTCCCTGATACGACCAGAAAGCAGTCACATGCAGTCGCTGGACCAGTGCATGAGTGAGCGAAAGGGAGGGCCTCCTAGAACCGTGAAGGGCATGCTGAGAGCTCGGGGGGAGAGGCCTTCAGGATAAGACAGTGGCTGGGGGTCCAAGTGAAACCTAAACAAGGCTTCACTGGAAGAAAACTGAAGCAAGTGGTGGTTTGTGGTTAAAGTCATTTGCCATATGAAATTTTCTTTTCTGCTGTGTCCATATTTCTAAGGCAAGAAGGCTCCCTAGGTGATAAGGGCCTTTTTCTTTTTTCTTTTTTTTTTAACCTATTTCTTGTTTAGAATTACTGTGTCCCCATTACCCTGACACTACAGTTTTATTTTCTAAAACTCCCTTTCCCCGGTGCTATGAGGTAAGTCAGTACCCAAAGCTGCCCTTTCAGAATCAACCCAGCCGTTCACTGTAAGAGCGAGCCAGGCTGACCCCCAGTATTTAATGGCAATGCCGAATAAAGAGAAATAAAGAGAACATGGTATAAGTGCCTCAAATCTGTATATTCTGTGTTGCAGTTAAGAGTAGATGTTCCAATAGAATTTGTATTTTAAAGAAATGGGAGTGAACAGGTGTGCAGTAGACACTGCTAGGGCCTGAGATTTTAGCGCATGGCGCTGACCTGTAAGTATACACGAGGGAGGAAAACCCACCCGATGCGACTTTCAACATGTCTTCAGTTATAATAAAGGACTTCGTGCCAGAAAACTGTTGTAAAAATCAGGAATGGAACTCACCAAAGTCAGACTCGAGTTTAATTTGACAACTTTTGTCCTATAGGTAGTCCCAAGAGAAGACGCATTTAAAATATAACACGGGGGTTCTCTGTCAACCGCATCCAGCACCCCCTTCTCCACCTAACACTACTGTTTACATACTCATTTGTTAGGCTTTCGAGGAAAGACCACACTTCCAAAAATCTATGACTTCTATTGTGTCTGGAGATATTGTTTCCCCCTTACTACATTTACGTTGATGCTAATATTCATTCATTATATTTGAAGCCAAGGGTTGGCAAACGTTTTCCAGTCTGCCGCTGCAGTGGGAAAGCAGCCATAGATGGTACATAAACAAATGGTTGTGGCCGTGTTCTAATAAAACTTTATTTACACCAATATGCATTAGGCTGGATTTGGCCCACAGGCCTTGGTTTGCCAATATATGACGATAGGAATATTGAGCTTTTATAAGTTCTTCTTAAATCAAGACCTTATTCTTTATTTCAAGTCTCATCTACTTAAAACTATGCATAATTGCTGAAGAAGAAAGATGTTTAAAAAAATAATAAAGCAGCTACACTCAATTGTAAATTTAACTGTTAGTTCCCTTTAGAATTCGGCAGGCTACAATTGAAATAGTTCAGGTCCCGTGTGGTAGAGCTGCCTCAGACATGTCCGTGTGAAACAGGAGAAAAAAGGAACACAAATCTCCCCCTTCTCTTTCTATTTCCCCTCACTCTCCGCAAACAGAGATAATATTTCTGCCCATGTGAAAATAATTCCATGCCCTGGTATGCAGTTTAACCAATCAATAGGTGGAGTAGTGTCTTGCATGTTATTTGCAATTAATACAGTCACTGCAAGAAACCAACATTTTAGTGAAAGTGGTCACTTACGCGCCTTTGAAGCTTGTTGGTTTCGAGTACGTTAATGATGATTTTTAAGACCACATTTTCTGAAGGTACTTTTCAGTGCCCACCAGAGTCCCTCCCTTTGTTTTGTAAGCGCCCACCGCCTTCTGTGGTGAGCTCCCAAAACACCTCATGCCTGGGAAGCTGGCATTTCATAACACCCCTCACGCCCTCAGGCTTTCAGGATGTTGAAAGAGAAGCTGGGAAGATGGATGGTTTCTGCTTGTCTGGTCCTCTATTTATTGAGCTGTGAATTGAGGAATAGCTTCTCTTCGGTTTTGTCTCATTACCAGTAAACTCGCTCTCCCTCCTTGTTCCCTCAGAGAAGTCAAAGCGACACTCCCTGCGATAGTCCCCAAGTTGCAGTCTCCCTGAGGAGGCAGAGCATTCTCTGTGGACAATTTATCTCCGTGGCATTTATATCAAAGAAGATAACACACTTATTAATTTATAAAGCATACCATACTTAAGACATTTAAGGCTTACACCTCAAAAGATAATATTTGAAAACTTGAAGAATTAAATGTTACGGTGCAGTGTTTGTAAAAACACCTTTGGACCCCAACTCCTAGGTTAATGAAACGGCAGATGGTGTCAGTCAACATTAAGACAACAGCCTAATTCCAACAACAGAGCAATCAGAAAGGCCACGTTTTCCGGCTCCACTTGGGGAAGGCTAAGAAAAAGCCCAGATATCTTCACGGAGCCCACCTCTTTTTAACTTCAGACTTAGCCCCTGATTCATCCAGTAACTTCAAGTGGAGTTTTCAAATTCTTGATACCGTCATAGGGATATGTCTGTCTTGGACGCAATAATGGTCTGTTTAAAAGAAAACTTGTTGTTATACACACAGAGAGATTTGAATCAATAGTTTTAATTATTTTTCTCAGTTAACTTGACCTGCTCCATGTCAGGCGCACATGCTGAAAACACTACTCCCAGTTGGATTTTCAGTCTATGTATCAGGATGTTATTCAGCTTTATAGCAAAAACCACGATGCTTCCTATTACAGGAAATAGTAAATAGTTGAATCACGTAACGATTTATCCTGAAGGTACCAACACGAAAAAGGACTATACCTCTTTTTCTAGTTGGAAAATGGCTTCCACTTCTCTTTAGAACAATTTTTGGGGGGGGGGTAGAGATTAGAGTGTTTTCATAGACCAGAGAGCCCCTCTCTGAAAAGCAATTCCTGCACAAATTCCTTCTCCCCAAACTATTTGAGACAGTATTTCTGTGAGAGGGTTTTACAACCTGTAACAGTTCCTACAGGTATTACGACAAACAGCAGGAATTCTGGTATTTAAGTAGGCAGTTTCTTGTCAGTGGCTGGCTCAGTTGCGCATGTCCAATAAACGTGGGTGAAGCCATGCTACTGGAATGAAAGAACCCTAATTGGAGGAAGCAAAGAGAACACTTCTTGGTCACAAATTTTTAAACAGCACACTTTCTCTGACAAGTGGGTTTCTAAACCCGTAACTCCCAGAGGCCGCCAGTTACCTTGGTAAGTAATGATCTCAGCCCTTGGTCTGGAGGTCCTTCATGGAATGCCTTCAGTGAGTCCTTTCCAAGTTCTGCTTACGGTGCCTGCTGTGCGACACACACTTATCTAAGGGACTGTCCCCTAGCAATGCCTGGGAAGTAGACCATTTAACTGAGAAAAGAAAGCAGTGCTCTAGGTCAGCAGCTATGATATCACACGTCTTACGTAAAATTCGATAAGGGGGACCATTTCCAAGGGCCCAGGATACTCTTTCAGTGAGGAGTAAAAAATGAATGTGGGATGTGTCGTCATGGATGTCATTTAAACCTCCAAGTAATTTTGTCTTACTTGCCTCTTTTTAGGAAATGAATATTTTTGGAACACAGTGGTGTGTGTTAAATTGCAGACAACATGCTCTGTGTCATTCTTATTGGGCCTCTCTGTCTTTTTTGTTTTGCAATCCAAATGAGATTTCTGGAAAATGGCAACATCTCTCTTTTCCTAAATCCCCCACAAGCTATTGCAGCTCTCAGAGCAACAGGTAACTAACCAGAAAGCCGCATTGGCTGCCCTGTATATTTCTGACGTCCAGCATTGCGAGACTACCTGCCGAATCCACTGACTCATGAAACATTTCTTTGGCTGAGCGTCACTGAGGAGATGTAATGAAACAGCTTTGCCTTACGCTTTACCCATGAGCCATTGTTTGCTACAAGTTCCCAAAGCGGGCCTACTTCATTTATTCATAAATGATCATTGGACGTCCGATGGAAATAAACCCCGTGGGCTTTTGCTGGCTTTCAGTGCTGTTGCTTATACATCACGTGAGAACATTATGCTGCAACCTTTCTTTTTCCTTTTTGGTTGAGAGTGCGACAGTATCCCAAAGGGGTGCTTCTCTTCGGCCTAGTGGAATGGTCACAGGTGAACGTCTTGCTGTCCTGTCACCTTAACTGCAAGCCGGTCGTATGAATATTATTTTCCAGGTTACTGACAGGAGTTCAGAAGTGCAGTCCTTGCTGCTCTCATTATAGTGGTAATGGCCTTGTACCTACAGAAGCTGTAGTTTCTGTCCTGTGTTAATGGTCTTTATCATCTCAGGGAAGACTGCGTTGCCTGCCTTCTGTGTAATGAAACTCAGAAGTGTAATTATGATGGGGCATGTTTTTAGATGGCCTGGACATTTTTAGGTTCATGTCTTCCTTGGCACCAAATGAGGCTAACTGTTCTAATTCCTAAGAGAACCAAATCTCAGTAACCCTTAGCTGAGTTTGGATAACATGACAACAGAAGTTTATTGAACATCTGTATTCTGAGTTCTATGGATGCGGTGACCATAGGTACTGGACTTTCAAGTATAATTCCAGTTTCAAAAACTTGGTATTTACCAAGTTTGCCTACTGAAAAATATGCTGACAATCCAGGCAATCTCAATGAAATCAGTTCAATCAATTGATTTTGGTTTATAACATTGAATTTTTTCCCCCACTGAGTTTTTCACTTCTTATTTTATGTCACATAAATACATTTGTAAGACGGTGTTAACAGGTGGATACGTAACATAAACTTTGTTTTTCAAAGAGTGACAAGCAGGGATGATAATTGTTACGTACAGAGCACATACCCATTGTGGCACATTAGAAATACAAATAGGCCCGGAGAGTCAGCGATGATAATAACTGTTAAACTTTATTGTTTATCCTTCCTGTGCTAGAAGCAGTTTTAGTTCACCTATGCCTCTTAGCGACTATTCGTGTCTTGACTGAGATAAGGCAACAACAAATTTCTGTAATGATTTGAAACACCAATTTAAAACATCTATTTCTTAGAATTTGTTAACAAAATTTCTACTATCAGGTTCTAAATCACTTCAGTGATAGAATTAACCATTTTCTGTTTCTTTGGAGGCAGTATAACATTCAAACATATTTTATTGACATTTGATTTAAAACAAAAATTAGGCACCCCTGTCTTATCCTAATAATCTACCCTCAGGTAACATTAAACTCCACTTATGATTCCAGTAAGGCAGATTGTAAAAGTCAAGTTCATCTAAACATTCGGAGGTAAGTCACCATCAACATGGTCTGCAAATTGCAAATTGGAGAAGGAGGCTAAAAATCTTTCATTTCCTTGATGCTTAGACCCATTCTTTTCACATTTCAAATCTGTGTTGAAAATCGATATGTACATTTTATGTGGAGGTATTTTTTCTCTAAAACATTGGAATAAAATCAACATAGGGTCAGGTAAAGGATGACCTCCTAGAAGAGAAAATATAAAAGTTTTGAACAACACATGTATGCCATGGAAATTTTCCAAATGCATGTTTTCTAGTAAGTCTTTTGGAAAAAATAATAAAATAACTTTAAAAATTTGTCATCCTGAGATACTATTAGAGGCAGTGGCATGGAGAGGTGAAGGCAGACTACCTGGCTTCAAGTCCCCACTCTGCCATTTGTCAACTGTGTGACTTGGGGCAGGCTGCTTAAGTCCTTAAATCTCAGGTTCTGTATTTACAAATTGGAGATAATGCTGGTGTCGTGAAGACTGAAGTAGATAACAAATATTAAGGAACCTGTATAGCTATTGGAACATAAGTTCTCTTCCTTTTTATCCTAATTTCAACTTGAATGACTTTCTGTAAAAAAAAAAAATAAATAACCTATGCTGTTTAAGTCATTTGGATATCATTTTCTAATACTAGGATAGATACTGTGAAAACCTCACGAAACTAAGAACTAAATCCTCCACTGATGCTCAGGAGTTATGAAAGCCTAGAAAACATATCCAAAAATTACAACGTCCCATTTTCCCTGTGGACAGTCACAGCCATCTCTCCTTACCTTCGTGGTGTGTGAGGCTGTCACTAGGTTTACAGCAGAGTGTTTACATGGTACCTTTAAAACCTTTTGAGAACATAGTTGACTTTTGAATTAGTTCAGAAAGAAACTGCAAAACAAACTGCAAAAACAAATGTGACCATTGTAACTGAAAGAAAAATGTTTACGTTCAGAACCATCGTGACCAGCTGATGACAGATTCTCTGCTGTGAAACTAAAATATTTCTGGTTCATCATTCAGTCTCCTTTTAGTTCATCTCTATGATGAGCTTAGTCTTTTTAAAGCTTTCCCCGTTCACTCTAGGACAATTGCAAATGGGTATCTTTGTGTTTATGCTGTCAGATTTTGAGTGAAGAATTCTTCCAATTCTAAACACCTTCCCAGTGATGGAGTCACTGTTGCATATTTGTGAGTGAGTCCTGGGCTAGCGCAGAGGTCAAACACAGTGTTTCACGGAGCATGCACATCTGGCAGCAGTCAGCAGTGAGGCCTGCACCAGTGCAGAGACATTGCATGCCCAGAGGTCAGGGTGGCATCAGTGAGTGCATGCCTTGCATTTTCCCAGCCGCAGAGCTGTCAGTATAGGTACTGCATGTTTAAAAATTGAACCCAGAATATGGCATGTTTCAATTTTTAAAAAGCCATTTTACCAAGTATGCATGTCCAAAAGCAGGGACCTCTGATGATGCACAGTTTTGTACTGTAATAGCCAAATGACCTGGAAATTTCATAATCCACGGTATATTTAATTACAAAGTTTTAAACGAAAGGATACCTGGCTTCAGTTACGAACATAGCAATGTATTCTAAGTGTACCTGTTAAGAAAGAAGGATTTAACCATTTTGAAGATAACACTGTTTGATCAAGCTGGGCTTGTTGAATTTTAGTAAGTACGCCAGACAAATAAGCAAGTTTTCAAGCATTATAATTCTTTTTAGTATTAATGATGATAAAAATGATAAAGGTTTGTTTCTGAAAAAGAGCATCTTCTCTTTGAGGAGAGTATATCAGTTTTGCAGAATACTGAGAAACTTCTGCATGGAGGTGGTAAATATACTTTGTTTTCGTAAATCGCTATTGTAGCGAATGTGCCATTCCACTGACCCTCAGCCTGTGTAATACAGCGATAACTCATTACTGGTTTTTCAAAACGTCTTCCGGCTCGAGGGTCATCGAGAAAGTAAACTAGCGTTTGTTTTCAAATAAAACTTAAATGTCCTGGTAGGACTTAAGATAGCAGGGAAGACCTTCCTCTTAGAGAACCAGAAAACTATAACTGGGAATTACTGACCGCTGTATGGGCCCATGTTAGGAAGACAAGTCAGACATTTTCTTGTCATACTGTTGAGATAGAGTGTACGTGTCCTGAGGAACTGCTGCTACCATGCAGCTGAAAGCACCTCTCACACCCATTTGGGGAAGCACGTTAATTTCTGGGATGCAGTATTGTAGACTCTGACTCGTGCAACATGCAGTGACTTCAGAAGTCTGGCCCCAGAGTCACTCTGGCATTTGACCATTCTGATATTAAGGCCAGGTCTTAGCTATTTGTCAGTAAAGAGAAATGTCTGTGTAGCTTACAGCCTCTTCCCTGGTGCCCCATCTACATCAGGCGGCCCTATGAAAATACCAAGGCACACGTTTGGTAACTAGAACCAAGGACCTTTATGTATTGTACCCAATTGCTGTCCATCTGGGAGCCTGGGGGAAGTGACCGGAACATCTTTTAAAGCTGCAGTGTGGACTAGGAGGCAAGGAAGGCCTTGTGAAAACCCAAGAGACTCCACAGTACCTGAGTGGAACGGTAGAGTTGTGCAGGTGTATATGATCAGGTTCAAGAGGTCTAACAATCGTGAGTCTGTGAGCAAAGCAGAAAGGCCAAGTTCATGTCCTAGGTATAGCCAAAGCTAAATAAACACGTGTTCCGTTTCCCTCACTTGCATCAGACAGAATTACAGGGCATTAACGGTGATCCGCCAGGCTACAAAGAAAGTTATTTGAACAATTAACATTTTCTAAGGTGAGCATGTTATTGTTACACTTGAGTTAATGCAGTAAGTTTCAGTTTTGCTTTGTGTTCAGAGCCCTGGATGGTAGAGGTTCAGGCAGGGTCCTGTCTTCCTCTTTGAACATTTTCCAAGCAGTTATACAGCAGTTTCTTTTGCCATCGATCCTCAAAAGGGTTTTGGTTTTGGTTTCTGACTACAGAGGGAATGGCAATGTCCTTTCCTGTTATTTGGTCCCAGTTTCACTCCATAGGTGTCACCTGCTGTTTTCTTTTGTTTCTCTTCCAGAGTGAAAGAATTGAAAAAGGCCAAGGAACTTGAAGACATACAGCAGCATCCCTTAGCAATGTGACATTGCTTTTCAGACTGTTTTCATTTCTGATTTTAGCAGAGACATGCAACACACACGCACGCACATGCACACACACGCACGCACATGCGCACACACACGCACACACATAATCCCTCTGCAGTTTTGGGGAGATCAGCTGCAGGATTTTAACAGGAATGTTTTGGTCATTGCATTTGCACCTTCATGGACAACTTTTAATTTGATCAGCAAGACATCTTGGAACTCAGTCTTCTTTCTGTTGGATCATGGGAAAACAAGACACCACGAGGAAGTGAAAGAGGCTTCCTCTTTCTGGGAAGAAGCCGTTTTCCTTCTCCTATAGGGCTGTATTCAAACATCGTGTGGAACTGTACAAATATTTATACCAAAAATATAGATAAGAGAAGGTGGGGATGCACTAGCAACAAAAGAGGACGCTGTTCCTGCACCTGTCAGTTATTTCCAAGAAGCAGAATCTTTGGGATTCATTCTCAGTGGAGGGCTTAGATCCTACAAATCTCTATTGGGTCTGTGTGTTCTCATTTCCTTCACTGTTTCTATTTTATTTTGTTTGTTTCTGTTTTAATCTCTACAGCACACTTAATGCAACTTTTAAAATCTGCAGGTTTTTAATGTCTTGTGGAAATTTGCAGAGGGGCGGGTGTGTGGTAAACGGGTAATGCATGGGAAGTAACAAGAAACAGCTTACAGAGTTGAAATTTATTTTCTTGTCCCCACCACCTCCCAAGAACCTGCGAGAAATCATCTTGTCCCTTTTCTCATGTTCAGCACTTTAATTTTTTTGCCTTACTTTCATGTGCAATGAGAATTACTTAGACAATTGGTAAAGCATGTAGCTTTTTTTAGTAACCTTGGAAACTGTAGTCATTCTAAGGAATCATAACCCTTGCCTGGACATCTGCCACCTAAAGGATCAGCGTGGTGCTGCGTTCCGGCCAGTAAATTCCATATTTTTGGCTATATCTCATCCAAACTGAGCAGTTTCTGTGTATATATAGAAGGTAGAAATGGAAAGTGAGAAAATATTTGAAAGGGATTATATTAATTGCTAAATATTTTATTCACAAAGGTCAATAACATGGCAAGATAAAATTATTTGTATAGTTTTGTCTGAATGAGCAAGAAAATGTGGATGTATTGTTTGTATATATTGTATATATTAACACAGAGATATGTGCATGAAATCAAGAAAAAAGAAATGAACAAAAGCAAAGCATTAGTGGCTATGGTCTGTAAAATGAAACAAAAAAAAACTTTATTTCACTATAAGAGTACTTTATTTTAAATGTTCTTTAGAAGAACATTTTGCTAAAGCATGACTAAACTGCAAAAAAATAAAAAAAAGAGCTACTGTATTTAGACTTAGGAAAAAAGGCAGAGTAACATTACTTAAAAAAAAAAGGATATGTTTACATTTAATTTTGGCTACCAGGAGTTTATTTTATTTTATTTAAAATTTTTTTGCCAATGGTGCCAAGTAATGTGAATGCTAATATTGCTTAAGAAAATTAAGTTACTTTTGCTAAACAGATAATCATAAGATGAATCAGTATACAGCTTAACACCATCCACTCGCTCCGACAAAGAACACTTTGAACGATCAAAACCTGACAAAAGAAATAGTACGAAAGGTTTAAAAAAAATGTCTCACGTTTTCATATCTCCTGCTGGAAATCAGAAGATGTAATAAAAATTGCACAAAAAGTAACTAAAAATTAAAACGACGCAAACTGGTCATGTAGGGATGTCATGGTCTCTTACTATTTCCACACAATGAGGAGCCAAAGAAATCGGATGCTTTTAAAAATTAAACTACTCACGTAAACTGAGAGAACCGAGTTTGCATTTGCTGATGCCAGTTTAAAATTCCCAGGTTAAGCTTCAGGATCAGTTGGTATAAAGCTGAAATAATCGTTTTTTTCCTTGGTTCTGGCTGCCAACTGTAAGTGAAAACTCAAGGCTTGTTGTGAAGCCTAAAAATATTCACAAATAAGCTTTTTAAACTGGTGTCTTGAGAAGGAAGGTAGATACAAAAAGATTGTAAAAACTGGGGTCAGTGCTCTTGGTGCCTTTTCTATAATTGTACTTGTTTTTTAATTACTTCCTTTCACTGCCAACCTCAAATTACTGTACAGTATATGTCTTACTGCTGTGATCAACTTGGACAACAGTGACAGCCCCACAACTAGTAGCCACCTGTACATTTTCAACGGAGCTGACTCGATTTTGTTTCTAAATGTGTGGGTTATGTTGCAGCTGTTGCCGTCCCCCCCCCCCGCCCCAAATACCTATTATTTTACACAATTTGACCTATAGGAGGACACTGAGTAATTTACAAACACAATTGCATTCGTAAAAGGGAATAGAATGTGAAAGCCGGCTCTTTCAGAGTATCCTATGTTCATACTGAATTTAGATACGTTTGCTCCATCTATTATGGTACAAATAACTGATCTTTTGACAAGAGTAATGACCTCAGTGGATTTGCTTTAACCCTCACATTTATTTTATTTTTTTAATGTTTCACATGCTACATTATTAGCTAAGTTAGAAAATTCTGGAAGGTAAAGACGTACATAGACTTAGGAGGGTTCTTATGGAGGGGATAGGAAGTAGGTTCAAAACCTACCAGTGTAGCCTACCAGTACAACTGTGAATCCTAGGCGAGGTACACAAAATACACTTCCACTGAAACGAAGCATTTCTGACCGCTTTTCCTTGGTTGTGAATCTTAATTTTGAATATAAGATGATAGATAAGCGCAGCTTTCTTGGATAATCTGAATTCCCAAGTGCCAGGAGTAGGATTTCATTATAAAATTAATAGCTAATCTTATTCTGTCTCCTGAAGATTTAATTGCTATTCTTGTTACCCATTTGAAATCAGCTGTACTGTGTGAACGAAATAAAGATACTAACTGGAACCCCTCTCTGGCTGCACGGTCGCTTATGGCAGTTCCACACAGTAGTTGGCGCCCAATGGGGGGTCCCTGAGACTTGCATGTAAAACTAGTCTAGATGTCTTCTTTTTTGTAAGTTTTATTTTTGTAATTGTGCATGTAAAGCATCATTGAATCAATGGATCTGTTGAAGAACTCAGCTGCTGGAAACCATGCAAAATGTTTTGAATTGCCCTTAAAATATGGAAAATGTTTTCTGAATGCTTTATATTCTTTCTGCTGTAAATTAAAAATGAAGAAAATTTCCCCATATTATGTGTGTGTTTTGCTTTAACTTGACCTGATACTACAATCCAAGGTGATCAGCATGTTTTAGACCATATGAAATAACTGCAAGGATTTCCTTAGGTTTTGACATTGATGGTTACATAGTTTGGGATATGTCCGTGAACAAAAACATTTCTTAGTAGAGCCACTGTTCCTAGAACACTTGCTCTTCAATTATCTTTTCAGGCACCTCTTAACGGATCAATCATTGGCGTGCAGTTTTTGAAAGTCTAAATTCTCCTTTTCACTTAAAGGCCTCTGAAGTTTTTTTAAAGGGCACTTTCCAGCTGACGACTGTCAGCCCTCCTTTCTGAGGACTTGGCCGTCATTGTCTCATTCCCTGTCACTGCAGAGCCTCAGCTCATCCTCCTGGCTGTCCCTCTTCCATGTAGTCCATCTCAGTGCGGCTGCCAGACAGGTTCTGCATGACAGAGCTCCCACCTCCACAGGACCGCAGTGGTTTCCACAGCCCACTGCATTTAAATGACACTGTCCTTTCTTATTTATCCTCAGTCTTTTATTCAGTCTTGTTTTCACCTGTGCGCCAACCTGCACCCTCTGGTTTGTCTGTGCAGACCGTGTCCATTTCCACTGTTGTCTTTGCTCGTTTGTTCATCCTTGGTCTGGAAAGTTCTCTTTTGGGCTACTCACCTACTCAAATCCCACCTCCTCTGTGACACTCTCTTGTTTATTCCAATATACACTTAACATTTCCCTTTTCAAATTACTGCGTTTAGAGTTAGAAAAGACAGTGTTTGTTCTCCGTTTCTTGTCTAATCTGCCAGTGGACCTATTAGTGTTTTGTAGTATGTTTGTTTCTTACCTAGGAGTTGTCTATATTGGTAGGAATACTTCAAATTACAACTTGAAGACACTGCAAAGTAACTCACTGCACTCAGATACATGCCTCGGCATCCATCCGATCAGCAGTTGAGGACCTATTCTGTGCTAGGGGCCCGGGAATACAGAAATGTAGGAACTACAGTCCCTGATGTCAAGGCTCTTGTAAACACTATAATATGGTCTGTACAATGACAAATATTTGTGTCACGAATAAGAAGAGAGGGAACCTAACCCCATCACTGTGATCAATACCCCAAACGGACTTCCTATCTCATTTTAACAGGTTTCTTGGGAAAACGTGGTGTCTACAGGACCACTAGGTTAATGTGGAAAAGTTGAGCGGAAATACACAGGCTGTGTCCAATACTGTCACCGCCACAGAAATCACCCACCGGCCCAGAATAACGTCAACCGCTCCACCCTCATTTACCTACACAGTCCCTTTCCAGTGCGTAATGCACCACGTCTCCCAGCGTCAGCACGGGCGGCGGTGGGGAGACGGAACTGACGCTCACTGACCTGCAGTCAGCATTGCAAAGCCAGAACCCACGCGCAGCCGCGGTCAGCTGGAGCCCCGCGACCCCAGCGCTCTCCGGTGGCCTCGAGGGGTAACTGGGCCCCGCCCGGCCCCGCCCCCGCAGCGCCCCGCCCACCTCCGGCGTGCTCCTCCGCGGCCGAGCGCGCCCCGCCCACCCCGGCCCCGGCCTGTGACGTCATCGGTTCCGCGCCGCCGCCGCCCCGCCCAGGTTCCCGGCCTCCGCTCCAGCTGCGCCACTCCGCGGACCCTCACCTGCCGCCGCCGCCGCCGCCAAAATGTGAGTGACGCGATGCGACGCGGGGCGGCCTCAGGCCTCGGGGACTGTGGCATGCGGCTGGGAGCCCCGCCCGGCCCAGTCCCCGCCAGCCGCCGCGCGGACGCGGGCGGAGGTCGCGCAGGCCGACGCGGGGGCTCTCGAGGCCTGGGGCGTGCATCGGCCTCAGGGGTGCGGGCTGCAGACGGGCAGGGCGACCCTGCAGTGCCGCCGACCGCTCCGGAGGGCCCCGCGGCCGTCGGACTGACGCGGAAGGGGCAAGGGCGGGGCGGCCCGGGGCTTCCCGGAGGTAGGGGAGCCCGCACCCGCTCAGTGTCCCGCCTCCGTCCCCGCCTCTTCCTCATCCCCACCCCCCACGCCCTCTCTCCCCCCACAACCCCCAAAGGCCCCGCGAGGGGCGGTGGTCACTGTACTCTGCCGGGTGTTGGGCTGGGCTCCGGAAGTTACGCGGTTCCTTGGCCCAGTCTTGAGGCACCTGTGGCCAGAGTGGGCTCAGGAAGGTGGCAGAGCTCTCTCGTGGTGGCCCTACAAACGGGGACTTGCCCGCGGCGACATTCAGAGGAAGCTGTCCAGAATCGCAAGAAGCCTCCGTTCCCCCTCCAGCCTGCTCGTCGCTCACGGAGGAGGAGAAAGCCATGGGCACTTCCCCGGGCCCCGTCTAGGAAGCTCTTGGGGGTGTCCCTCCTGAGGCTGCGGTGCCAGCAGACCACAGCGGTTAAGACGGGACCTGGGCCAAACACAAGTTGACCTCCTCAACCTCACTGTACTCATCTGTCCAATGGGGGTGATAATGGGTCCCTCAAAGAGTTGTGAGGATTCAGGGAGGAAACACGTGGAGAAAAGGCACCAGAACACGGCCCTTCACTGTGACCAGACATTCAACTCTGAGGGCAGGGGTGGGATCTGCTGTCGCCCGTGTCATTGACACGGGATGGAATAACTTGAATCAGTGACCCGGTGGCTACTGTATGCGGACACTTGCTAGGTGCTGTGTTGGATACAGAGAGGAGACCTCTAAAACACAGGAGCCTGGGACCTATTAGGGAAAGGGATATATAATATATGTGCACACACACACACACACATAATGAAAAAAATTAAAGCATTACCAACAAAGTAATGGAAAAAAATGAGGATGTGAAACCCAGAGAGGTCAAGGAAGACCTGCCTGGGGAGAAGTGAAGCATTCAATGAGGATTTTAAAAGATGCGTAGCTTTTAAGAGGGGGAGCAGCATTGCTTCTTGTTCCTGTAAATAAATGTATTCCCACATACTGGAAAAGGGCATTCTATAATTGTAACTATGAAAAAATTTTTTTGCCTCAGTGAAAAGGTCAGAAGAGTACTGAGTGCATTTCAGTAGGTGTGTGGCTTTTAAAAAGTAATACAAAATTGGAAAGTAGAGTTTACCTATCTTAGGATCAGCTACTTCAGTGAACAAAGTAAATCCTATTAAACCTTTGCTTTAGACCCTGGTCACTTTTAACATGTGGGTGAATCTTGGAAATGATAGAGGAATTAGGAGAAATGTCATTAGAACCTTTGCTCATGATTGCAGGAAGGGCCTCTTTTTCTGCGTTAGTTCTGAAATCCCTAACACCGAGGGTCCTAGAATAACATCTTCATACGTACAAAAGTGTGCTCGGAATCATAACTTGCTAATGCTCGTGCCTTTGCGTGTTTCAGGTCTACAGGTATGCCTGCGGGTTCCAGCGCTGCCTCTGGCAGCAATCGAAGACTTCAGCAGACACAAAATCAAGTGGATGAGGTATTGCTCTGAAACACTGAAAAGATGGATTTTATATCAACATGGGAACACTCTGGAAATAATCGTTTAGACCAGGGGTCGGCAAACTTTTGAGACGGAAGAGCCAATCCTGTCCCTCACAACAATTTAAAAATTATTCGAGAGCCATAAAACAAATGAAATCACCATTATGTGAATAATATCCTTTAAAAATTTTATAAATGAAACTATGATAGTTTTGTTTTCATTTTCAATTTTACTTCAGAGCCACATGTATGTACCCAAAAAGCCACATGTGGCTTGCAAGCCGCAGTTTGCTGACCCCTGGCTTAGCCAGAGTATCCTAAAGTGTGAATGTAAAGTAAATTTTGACCATATCATAAATGTAACAGAATTTTGTCCCCTGCTATTCTCCAAGCCCTGATCTAAACAGAAGTCAGATTCTCCTGTTTTCCTGTGACCACATGACATACCTAAAACAAACATTTCTCCCTGAGGACATTCCTCCAAGAACTACTTTATAATGTATATTTTGCCACAATAAAAAAATAAAATCAGAGAAAAGAGAACCGCTTTATAAAATAGAGTGATAGAATTGTAAGAATGAGGCCTATAGATTGCTCAAGCCCAGACCAGGTTTGTCATCATCAGAATGCTCCCCCAGTAGCCAGCCTTTCTAGCTCCCCAGCCTGCGCACGCCTCTGTGGAATTCAGTTCAGAAGGCGATGCTGGCAGACTGCTCTAGCCCAGCAAATCTGTATCTGGGGAGTTCTCCAGTTAGAGGACGCTCACAGCATCTTTCTGCCCTATATATGCAGACCCACAGTGGAAGATTGAGAAAGTCAAACTAGTATTTCCACGTTCCTACAAGCTGTCACTGTCCAACGACAAAATCGGGTCTTTCTGCATTTAGCTGCCTTAAAAAGCAGCATTAAACTTACGTTAGTTTAACACAATGATGGATTGTTAAAGCATAGGGTAATATTTTGGTATGATGGTTTTGTTTGTGAACTTCTGAAAAATTTATATTTTCATGCTAAGAAACCCATTCTAATTCCATCCTGCATGAAACTTTCGTGTACTTACAAAATCAAGTTGGGTCCTTTTTCTAAACCAAAGGAATTTTCAGTAAGGAGAGTTGTTTTTTCCTTTTTTAATTGCGGTGAAATCCACATAACCATTTTCAAGTGTCTAGTTCAGTGGTATTTGTTGCATTCACAATGTTGCTACCACCTCTATCTAGTTTTACAGATTTTTCATCACCCAGAAGAACACGCCATGCGCGTTTAGTAATTACTCCCATCCCCTCTCTCCCATTCCCTCCTTGCTAATCTAATCAGCTTTGTGTTTCTATGGATTTTCCAAACTGGACATTTCATATAAAAGGAATCATCCACTCGTGGCCTTTTGTGACGGCTTCTTTCACTTAGCATGTTTTTTTATTTTTTTTAAATTTTGGTACTAATATAAGTTTATGCTACCATGGAGAATTTAGTCAAATTATATGTATTTTTTATTTTATTTTTTAAAAATTTTTTAAATTGGGGAATTGGGGGAGGGGAACGGCCAAGTTGTTGTTCTTCAATCTTAGTTGTGGAGGGCGCCAGTTGCCATCTGGCTGCCTTTCAGCAACTCGTGGCCTCTAAGCTCAAGATGCTGTGTTCAACCTTAGTTGCAGGTGGGCGTAGCCACCATCCATTGCGGGAGTTGAACCAGCAGCCTTGTTAAGAGCACATGCTCTATCCATTGAGCCATTTGGGCGGCAGCTCAGCTCAAGGCTCCATCACTTAGCATGTTTTCAATGTCCATCCAAATTGTAACAGATATTAGAACCTCGTTCCTTTTTACGGCTGAGTAATATTCTATTGCATGTGTTTACCTTAATTTGTTTAGCTATTCATCAGTTGATGGATTTTTTAGTTGATTTCACCTTTTGGCTATTACAAATAATGCTGCTAAGTTCGCATACATATTTCTGTGTGCACATACATTTTCTTTTCTCTTGGGTAGAATTGCTGGATCATATGATACTTCCATGTTTAACTTTTTGAGGAACTGTCAAACGTTTCCACAGCAGCTACACCATTTTACATCCTCACTAGTAATGTCCATGGGGTCCCATTTCTCCACATCCTCACCAACACTTGTTATTTTCCTTCTTTTTGGGGGATAGCCATCCTTGTGAGTATAAAGTGGCATCTCGTTGTGTTTTCGGTGTGCATTTCCTTAGTGACCAGTGATGTTGGCTAGCTTTTCCTGTGCTTGTTGGCCATTTGCATATGTTCTTTGTAGTAATGTCTGTTCAAATCCATTGCCCATTTTTTACATTGGGTAGTTTCTCTTTTTTTTGTTGAGTGGTAAACATTCTTTATATATTCTGGATATTAAGTCTTTTTCAGATACATGGTTTGCAAATATTTTCTTCCATTCGGTGGATTGTCTTTTCACATCCTTGATAATGTCTTTTTTTTTTTTTTTTTTTTTTTTTTTTTTTT